TTCACTACGGGGTGTGCAGTCCCCAGCGGGAGATCGGCCGCCTCTCCCCGCCGACGGTTCCACTGTCCCGAAAGACCAGTTTTCTGAAGGTAAAACTTGCAGGCTTGGTGATCTTTGTCAAGAATATCGTCTGTGTTCGGTTCCGTGCTGATTATATCTCTTTTCGTTCAGTTTTAGCCTGTTTAGGCCTTGTGCTGGTCGGAGCTGATATAAAGCACGTATGGCCAGCTTGAGGATCAGGCCCCGCCCAAAAAAATGTTTTATTTTTAACTATAAAAAAATTTGTTTGTGCAAATCATTTATGCAAAAAGCATTTCTAAAAAGATCTTGATAAAAGTCTTAATGAATGAAAAGATTGACCTGCCTTAACAGCAGAATGAAGCAGAACCATTTGAAAATGTTTATTGAGTACTCTAAATGAGTCCTTCCAAGGAATTTATATTTTAGACTGAGTTACACAAATAGCAAGCTATTCACTATGTAAGAATTTTAAGACCCCAATTTAAGGCCAATATAGTTACATTTCCAATAAGTATAGTTTGAGCTACATAAGCGACATGCTCCCTTAAAGGACCACTCTAGGCACCCAGACCACTTCAGCTTAATGAAGTGGTCTGGGTGCCAGGTCCTTCTAGGGTTAACCCATTTTTTTATAAACATAGCAGTTTCAGAGAAACTGCTATGTTTATGAATGGGTTAAGCCTTCCCCCTAATCCTCTAGTGGCTGTCTCATTGACAACCACTAGAGGCGCTTGCGTGCTTCTCACTGTGATTTTCACAGTGAGAGCATGCCAGCGTCCATAGGAAAGCATTGTAAATGCTTTCCTATGCGACGGGCTGAATGCGCGCGCAGCTCTTGCCGCGCGTGCGCATTCAGCCCAGGAGGAGGATCGGAGGCAGAGAGCTCTCCGCCCAGCGCTGGAAAAAGATAAGTTTTTAACCCTTTCCCCTTTCCAGAGCCGGGCGGGAGGGGGACCCTGAGGGTGGGGGCACCCTCAGGGCACTATAGTGCCAGGAAAACGAGTATGTTTTCCTGGCACTATAGTGGTCCTTTAACTAGCCCCACATTGACATATCTGCATTTACACCATACTCACTTTATCGCACACTCACCCTATGACAGAAAGACAAGCTTTGATACTTGTAACTAGCATGACAACTTGTGACATTATTGGCTACATTTACGTCCTTCACTCAAATGTACTCAAATGAAAATGACTTGTTTATGCTAGCTCTACTATTTAAACATACCTTTAAAAAGTGCAGTATATTAACAATGCTGACCTACTGTACGGTTATCTATGTTATGTTTACTCTTGGGGGCACTGCACGCCCAGCTATGTTATTTCCATGCACGACAACAACAAAGATTTGCAAAAAAAGAAAAGGAAAAATTGAGACCTGCACGTCTCACATGTTACTTACGTGCTCATGGGACCTGCGGGTTCCACAGTTTCACATTTAATTGATACAGACCTGCGAGTCTTGTACTACTCTGTGATATGTTATATTCTATACAAAATTAACGAGCGGATTCTCTTGTCTAAATAAAAAGATATTCACAATATAGTTACATTTCTCTTTTGTTTTAAAGGGACACTATAATCACCCAGACCACATCAGCTCAATGAAGTGGTCTGGGTGCCAGGTCCCTCAGGTTTTAACCCTTCAGATGTAAACATAGCAGTTTGAGTTCCTGACAGCCGCTAGAGGCACATCTGCGACGCTAGATGTGAATGTCCATAGGAAAGCATTGAGAAATGCTTTCCTATGGACTGTTTGAATGCGCGTGCGGCCCTTGTCGCGCATGCCGCATCACTCGGGAGCTGACGTCGGCGGGGGAGGAGAGGGCACCAGCGCCGAGGGAGCCCGGTGCTGGATTAAGGTAAGTAGCTAAAGGGGTTTTAACCCCTTCAGCGCCAAGGGAGGGGGACACTGAGGGTGGGGGCACCCTTAGGGCACTATAGTGTCAGGAAAACTTGATCCTGCTATACGGTATGTTCCTGGATGTTGAAGCTCCTGTTTCAACCCTGTGACAGGATTGACTGGTGTCTAGTTTACAGCTTTCTACTTGTTGAATTTATTGTTTTTCATTGTAGACTCGTATTTTTTGTTCTTATCTCTCACACCAAAGAAAAAGGAGTTGCTTTTGAATACAAGGGCTTATATTACCTCCAACTTGTTTTTGAATGGTTTATGCATATTTACAATTTGTGCTGCTGTTGGAGTTTACGAAAGGAAGTCAAGCAAAACATTTGCCTACTGTCATTAATAAAAGAAGATTATAGGCACACTAAAGCTAGCATAATTTGCAATTTAATTTCTAAATTGCTGAACAGGAAGAATTCTTTAATTCAGCTATGCTTTCAGTTTGGCTACTCTGGCCTTAAATCTGAAATTCACGTTGAATTCTCACTTTACTATATAAGGGTTGTGAAGCCCAAGTCACTAATACAATTTAAAAATAAATAAATAAATAAATATATATATATATAAAATAACACAATCATATAATGGAAATACTACAACATCATAAGTGAGCCAGAATTATTATGTATAGGGGCAAAAGACACTGAGTAACTGAACAGTTTATCAGATTAGCTATAATACACATTGCACCTAAAACTATTTATAAATATTGGCCAAAATGTTCAGAGAAATATAATTTTAGTATAAGTAATCAGCTCTCACCTTTAGTTTAGTCTGTGTCGTTCCACTGCTTGTGCTCTTTAAGTGATCTTATCCCCAATGTTCTCTGAAACTCATTGAACATATTATGACATCACCAGATTTTGATGACCTCACAGAATCCTATTCAAGGACATTATTTTGACTTCCTGTTATTAAAACAAGGCAAATTGCAAAATTACTAATATGTTTACCATGAATTCTTTCAGAAATTGTTTTTGTTTTTTTTAACTGTGCTCTCAGTACAAATGCAGATGTTAAGAAACTTTACATATATTAAGGAATGTACAAATATTTTGTTCCCTTCCACAAGATAGAGATGGATGATACCAGGAAAATTAAGAGAGTTGGGACAGTTAGCTTGTTGGCAGAGGACTTTGTTGGTGTTTTCATATTGGTACTTTGGTTACTTCTCATTTGATCTGTGAACAAAACGGTGGGAAAATAATTATATTATGTATGTATTTTGCAGTGCACTGATTGTAACCCATGGAGCAGCACAGCTCAGCGGAATAGAGCCTTGATACAGCTAGGAGGCGGGCATTCACAGTTAGTGTGTTTGGATTGGCTAGTTATCTGGAATGGGCGGAGTTAATATTTATAGGGCAGCCATATTAAAATTTTCCCATTTTAATGCTTTCTCATAGACCTTGTTATATCCCTACATTGGATGATATGGGCACATTGTTTGCACTTTATTATGTTTTATAATGTTATTTATGTTGTTATATTGTTATGATATTATGCTGTTAAGCTGTTAATTTTGTGGGTCATTGTGATGTTGTGGGGGGTTATTTATTTACTGTTTCAATTGTTTAACAATGACTTTTTGTATTAAAATTGATATTATATAATATTAAAAGCTGTGGACACAAGTTGACCCAACATATTGGTGTCCGTGTATTATTGGGTATGTATGGGGGTTTTTATTCTTAATGACCAAGGGGACGACTATGCGCCTGTCATGGCCCATTTAATTATCTGTATTGGAAAAGTGCTGGTAGATAAAAAAAATTTTTACTCATCCCTCTTTGTATTAGTATGAAATAACTACTCAAAATGGTGTTTAGCAAAATCAAGGATAAATGAAAAATAAATATATTGTCACATGATAAATATGCATTGATTGACCACGAGATTTATATAATATCTCTAATATCACATTCTTCAGGAACAATACAGCTGATTAACAGCTATCAATCTATCTGTCTGTATGTCTATCCATCTGTCCACCTGTCTGTCCGATTAACAACAAATTAACAACAATGTGTGTGATTGCACATTTTTAAATAAGTGGAGAACAACATTGGTAGTGTAGCTGTATCTTGCGTAGTGGATGCCGTAGTGGTAGCCATATTTGCACTAGTTGCAAGGTTAAATGATGGTATGTAACATAATATGAAATAAAATAAACATGCAGACTTTAGGATAGGTGATATATTAATAGTGCATAAAATCTAAACTGTAGAAACGGATAGCATTAAATGGGCCTGGCCGCCATGCTGAGCGGTCGTATACTGCAGGGGCTCCTGCAGATTTTGGCCTTTTTGAATGCAAATCTGGGCTCAACGCTACAACCCAAGCACAGAAGCTACTGTTATGGATAGAAATTAACGTTAGTAAAATGTCTATTTACTGTGTATACCTGTATTCAATATCTACTCAAAATGGCTGCTAGAGCACCCCTCCCACCGACTAACTACCTCGTGTAACAAGATGGCGCCTAAATCCGGAGTAAAATCCCGGGATGATGGTGACATCACGCCTAGAGGATGTGCATTAGATAAGACACTTAACACCTAATCAATTAAAGATGTATTCTTTCTGTTATCTACATTTTTGCATATGATGTATTTTTGCCTTTATAAGGGGCTTGCCACCCCCTGAGTAAACATTCCAAAAATTTTCATTAACCTGATACCTGTGTCTCAGTGTGATTTACTTCAGAGCGTGCACGCATTTATTTTTACAATTTGGAAAGGAGCAGGTACTCAGATAAACAAACACTTGGTTTGATCCACAACACTACCTAACAGCTGCGGGAGGTTTCTGGCACCACCATGGACCCAATGAGGGTGAAATGAAGATTTGGAGCCTGCGGCCTAATCGGGAGTAGAGCGGGGGAGACGGCCGCTGTCCAGCTCATATACCTGGTGTCATACAACTGCGTGGTTATAATCTCCGCTGGCCCCCGACTCCACCCCCTTTGGACCGGTGGGGGTTATCCCGGTCCCCACTGGAGGGAACTGATGCCACACAGACCACCACTGCTGAACTACCAAGCGGATGAGTTCCCGCACTCGCTCCACAAAATGGCGTCCATGTGGCTTACCCTGGGCAAAGCTCTGCTGACTGAATGCGGATATCCTCACAAACCATGGCGTCTGCTGACTGCAGCTCTGAGCCCCGGCATTACCTCATCAGCGAAAGACTGTCCAATCTCCCGGACCCAGCGTACGGTACTGGTTCCCACGACTGCCTTCCTGGGCTTTGAGTTCCCAGAAGACACCCCTCCAACCACAATCCCACTCCTGGACAGAACACCCCAGCCAGTACTTCCATTACTGGCCCCCAGTGGAGCCGTGGGCACAGGTGGCAGGCTCAAACAGAGCCTAGGGCTGGCGGAGTGGTCCAAATCAGAACACCCTTTATGTTGGGACTCTGCAGCTATTAAGCTCCAACGGGAAGCCGAGACCAAATGATCCAGCGGGTGTATCTGCATGTCTACACCAGCGGATTTAAGGAAACTGATCCCAGAGGGTAGCGTGGACTCCCCCTTCCGAGACTTTAAAATAACTTCTGCTTCAAATGTAGAACTTATGCCTTTATTCATCTCGCCATTTAACTTGCGGTCTATACATTAATGGGGCACTGTCTAAGTGTCTAACGACCTGCTCATCATACTTAGCCACACTGCTCATACTTAAGTGTAACTCAGTACTGTATAGGAGGCATTAAGCAACTGGATTTTCGCAGCGCAGTAGCACAGTGGAGTGCAGTGTCCCAATAGCCTGTATAACCTGAATTTACACTTGCATACCAATGCCATTGTGATACTTGGACAGTTGAGTACAGCATAGCAACTTGAGACCCACTTTATTCAGCAGTCCCTCTTTGTAAATATACCTATCTAACCTATCGTAATATTATATGGCTACTTAACCTGCTATTCACTACCTGCATAGTTTGCAAATGTAACATTTCCAAATCACTTATCTTACCTTGATAGCCCACTACTACTTAGCTAAGATTTGTATAACTGTCCAGGCTAGGGTAATGTACCTGAGTATGTAGTTTAACTACCCTGAATCTTGATTTACTTCTATTGTTTTACTTTTTTATTTAAAAACGAGGCTGTCATACACTGGAGTTGGTGTACCAATGCATCTTCAAATGATACGTGCTTATTTGCTAACACTCCTTTCTCTTCTGTAACGTTTCTTTACTGCCTCAATAAAAGAAAGATTGACAATAACAAAGGTCTAGGAATAAGAGAACCCAGTGGCTGTATTAAAAGGCATAACAGGCCTAGTAATAAGTAAATCCAAAGGCTATATTAACCCCTTAGTGACCAGACCATTTTTCCATTTTCTTACCTTGAAGGACCAGGGCTGTTTTTACATTTCTGCTTTGTTTGTGTTTAGCTGTAATTTTCCTCTTACTCATTTACTGTACCCACACATATTATATACCGTTTTTCTCACCATTAAATGTACCTTCTAAAGATACCATTATTTTCATCATATCATATAATTTAGTTAAAAAAATATATAAAATATGATGAAAAAAATGAAAAAAACCCACTTTTTTTGAACTTTGACCCCCAGAATCTGTTACGCATCTACAACCACCAAAAAACATCCATGCTAAATATTTCTAAATTTTGTACTGAGTTTAGAAATACCCAATGTTAACATGTTCTTTGTGGCAATGTTAGATATAAGTGTTGCCTACCAGTTATTTTATGTATATGGGTGTCTTCAAACGATATGTATTAACCGCATGTTATAGCCTGTTTTGTATATGTTCAATGGCATTCGTATGCTGGTGACAAGAAAACCGCCAGCATTCATATAGTAGTTTCACGAACAGGGAATTTCAACCGTGTTCATGAAACAAACAAAGTACCGAATGGGAGACCACACAAAGAGGGTCGTGTGTCTCCCATTAAGTCTGGCAACAATGTATCTATCACCTTGTTAATGTGTTCCCCGGTGGTTACTGTTTATGTACCGAACACGTGGCGGTGGCCATCTTTGATTCCCCAAGCTCAGCGGTGTTTGGTCGTCGAGTGCCTGGAACTGAAATCGGCTACTCGACGGCACGAACACTGCTGGACTTCCAGGCCGTTTGGGACAATAATTCTTTCGGCACTTTAACGGAACCAGTCCATTCGTGCCTTTCAATGCCTGTTCCTCTCACACTGTATTTCGAATGGCATTCATTTAAATGTGCAGGGATCTGAGCGATACTTTCCTCAATGGTGCGCTCAGATCCCCGCTATGCAACTAGAGGTCATTCAGCTCAGTCACCCCAATATTGCAAATATTACAGAATTTAATGTAAAAATATAACTTGGGCTGTACAGGGAGATAAGATGATTAACACTACATGCTTATCTCTTATCTCTCCTGTACAGCAATGGATGCTGGGAAGCTGCCTTGTAACCTAAGTTCCCCACGTAGTTCCCTACTGTAAAACCCCTGTAAAGTCACTCTGGAAACCCCTTGCATGGGGAATTGCATAAATACTGTGACCTGTGAATAAAAGCTCAGTTGACTCCCAGCCTATGTGTCGACTAGTTCTTGGGAAGAAGGGATTATTATCACGCTACCTGGATTATTGTATGCTGTTCCTTTCTACCAGCGGAGATCCTGTGGATTATACTACCTCTCCGCTACATTCTTAGCTTTTTTTGGAAAGTTATAGTACAAGTAGTACTTTGCTATTTCCAAACCATTTTAAAAAAAAAGAACATTACATTGTAACACTGATATCTCTCAGGAATCCCTGAATAACCATTCACATGTATATATTTTTTTAAAGAAGACAAACTAAGGTATTAAACTTGGGGTATTTTAACTCTTTTTATGCAACCATTTTACCACCAATCTATGCCAAATTTAAACAAAAAAAAAATGACTGGTGATTTTTTTTACATACATAGCAATTTTAGAATACATGTACGGAGAATTTTAAGGGTTACTGCCAAAGAACAATATGTGTTAACAATATGTGTCCCAATATGTGTTCAGCAACATCTCCTGAGTACAGTGATACCACCCATGTATAGGTGTGTCGGGTTCTCTGGGGGCTAAAAGACCTTATTTGGAGGGTGCGCATTCCAGTTTTTCAACTTGGAATTTTTACCTATTTTAATACGTATTATTATTTTTATTATTATTATTATTGTTCTCTCTCTGTATTATATATCCTTTAAGTGTGCTGCCTTTATTTAAGTTTTTAAGCGTTGCTCCTTCTGTACACTTTTCACTTCATATGCAGCAGGCTCCGCTGGTGTTGTATTTCAGTCTTTTAATCAAGGAATGTTTCCTCTTGATCTGTCACAGGGGTCATACCCCAACTTACAGGAATGGTGAATCCCACAAACAGAGGTACTAGATAGACATATTACCGGGCATTATAGTGGCCGGACTTAACGTTAATACAGAAAAATACAGAGACAGGAATAGCCAATGTCAGAGATATATAATTATGGATACATGGAATAACAAGCCGGGTCAGAATAGCAGAAATAGACGAAGTCATAAACAAGTTCAGGATACCAGAGTTACAAAAAATTAAAAACAAGCCAAGGTCAATATCAGGATAGAACAAGAAAGACTTACTATGAGCACTAACGTGTATCAGGACAGAAACCACGATAGGGCAATGGGCCACATTGTGATCAACGCAGTTACCCAAGTGGAGGGCTCTTTCAACATCACCTGCAACCTCTCTTGTTGAGCAAATTAACCTGCAACTGCAGCCATCTACTGAGGCTTTGAATCATGCTGGGCCCCAAGATAGAGGCTCCACCGGCATTCCTCTTCAGGTGCTACTAGTTACTAGTTGCTAATTTGTCTAACTTACATACCATGCTGACCTACTACCTTGATGCTTTGGTTGCTGCGGTAGCATTATTTATCTGTTTAAGCTATTTCTGTTTAGCGTCATATAGTCTTGTAAATCTTTAAAGTCTCTCTCGGGTGCATGTTGACCATAGCATCAATTGTTTATTTATTGTCACTTGATCTTGCTTCTTTTTTTTTTTTTTCAATTCTTTATTTTTGCTCAATAGACACAGCGAGTTTACATAAACTTTTGGGCTTACGCAGAAGCCAACTTGAATATAGATTTTGGAAACATAATGCAGTTCAACAGATACAACATATGCCCATTCCTTAAGAAACCGTTGGTACCTGCCGTCTACTGAGGGTTTTATATTTTCATATAATTCCTTATTCTGTTAAATTCTTTATTTTCCTTTTTTGGAATTCTTAAATTTCACCATAAACGGAACAGGTGTATATTCACTTTTGGGCCTATAAGGAAGCCAGTTGAATTACATAGCTTTATAAGGAAATACAATGCAACCTTATCACCGCATGAGCTTTTCACTATAAACCTTTGGGACCCGCAGTCTATTGAGGTATTTTATGTTTTAATCAAAGACAGGCAGGTAAGTAGTTCAAGTAGCCTTTATGTTTGCTTATCATTCTAGTACTTAAGCTACATTATTCCTCCGTCCGTATGATCCTACCTGGGATAAGAAAACAAAAAACAGAGAGGAAGAGAGATAGAAGAAGAGAAAAGAGATGAGGGGAGGGTCGGGGGGCATCGCAGCCACTTCGTTGACAATCAAGTCACATTCAGTAAGGATGTGTATATCTTAGGTTCATTCCCATATGTATGAGGCCCTCAGTCTCTACCCGAGCCCACTATGCTATTGTCCCACGGTTCCCACGTTTTTTGGAATGTCGTGATGGTCCCTCTCACCCTTGCCGTTAGATCGTCCATGATTCTACACTCTTTGATTCTGGAAATAACTCCTGTGAATTCTGGGCCCTCAGGCGTGAGCCACGCTGTCGCAATCGCTCGGCGTGCACACAAAGTAATCTTGTGTACTAATTTCTGTTCCCTTTTGGTCCACCCGTCCACAGATCTATTCAACAAGTATATCCATGGGTCCAATTTTAGGGGCCTATCGAACGTCTGTCTTACCAGATCCTCCACGGATCTCCAAAATCCCCGTAGCTTCGGGTATTCCCATCACATATGGATGTATGATCCTTGGGCTCCACATCCTCTCCAGCAATCGTCAGTCTCCCGTTTGTGCATTCTATGTAGTTTGATTGGGGTAGTGTACCACCTAAACATAGTTTTCCAAGCCTGCTCCTGGAGGGTGACACATATTGAGACTTTAGCATTCGCCTCCCATATCTCCTGCCATTCGACCCCCTCCAGAGTCTCCCCGAGGTCGGTCCCCCATTGGTCCGTGTAGGACAATCTTCCCCATTCTCCATTTTCTTCACTAAGGTGTGCATATAATAGTGTGATCATCCCCTTGGGGGCTACCCCGTCCGAACATAACCTCTCGTAGAAGGTGGGTTTCCCCAAGGCTGCTGTTTTAATGTGTTGTTTTTTCGCGAAATCCCGAATTTGAACGTACCTAAAGAAGTCTGCGGGGGTTAGGTGATTA